TATATACACATGCCTTTATATATACACATACACACATACATATACAAATATACATATACACGTATATGTATATAAATATGTATACATATATACATACATATACATACATATACATTATATTTATACACATATATATACACATATACATATATAAATATGTATACATACACATACATATATACATAAATATAAATATATATATATACACACATAAATACATATACACACCTATATAAACATATATATACACATATATACATACATATATACATACATACACATATACATATATATATATATATACATATACATATAGGCTAGAGGAAATATAATTTTTTTTTTCTGAGACCCTAACCCATATTTCAGTTTGATGCGCCCCCTACCTCTAAACTCCAGACCCCTCAGCTGAAAGGTGACCAGGCCGTTGCCGATCTCGATGATGTGCACCAGAGCGTTGAGGTAGTCCGAGGCCAGGATGAAGCAGTCGCCTGTGCTGTAGTTTCCCCAGCGACCCAGCAGCAGGTCTCCACATAGGCTGTGCTGCAGCGACCGTGTCAGGTGTTCGTAGAAGATGGAGTTCAGGTTGTTGTCGTCGGCTCCTGTGGGAAGACAAAAACAACACAGCTGTAAAAAAAAACAAAAAAAAACAATAATAAAAGTATAAATCAAATGATTACTTTGTTTTTCTTACCAGGGTTCCTGTCTAACTGAGTGGCAAGTCTGGTGTTGGAATGATCCACCCGCTTGGTGCTGCAAATATATACAAATACAATTAATTAAAAAAAAAATTTTAAAATATATTAAATTAAAAAAAATGTATATTTGGGGACATTGGATTACATATATTCACTCACACACATACATATATAAATATATACACATATATAAATATATATATACATAAATATATATACACATATATAAATATATATATACATATATAAATATATACATAAATATATATACACATATACTCACCCATGTATATATGTATATGAAAACGATACACGCATGTTCTCTAATCGTTCGACCATTGACCTACTTGTAGTCGCGCTCCCAGAACTTCACCGGTCTGGTGTAGGACGTGACAAACACGGCACTGCCCAGGACAGGGTTGAGAGGCGTGGAGAAAATCGCAGAGAACACGGCCTGGATGAACAACACGGCAGAGTCTGCAGAGGTGTGAGTCAAGGCCAAGCAGAGCAGCTGGAATCTTTGGGTGATTTCATTTGGTGTGCACAAGATTTAAGAAGTACAGTTATGATAAAAAATATATATATATTTTGAAGATTTGTAGAAGAAATGTATCAAATTGTTGAATTTTCACTGCTTTAACTTACGTGATTTTTATTTATTTATTTGAAAAAAAAAGTGTGTGTGTGAACTATTTAAATGACATGATAGCGCTCCAAATTTTTCGACGCTCTCCTGCGTCACGTAAAACCCATTCAAACTTCAATTATGGAAAAGTAAACCGCCTCAGTGAAAATAAACCTCATCGACGACACATTGTGTAAAAGAGAAAAAAAACTCAAATAAAACCATATGAAAAACTCCTCCATCAAATAACCTTATTTTTCTGCCTTAACTTTTCTATATAACAACCACAGGTGGAAACATTTCTGTAAACACATCAAAGGATACGTGGCACCGCAAAGGGTTGAGCGAAGGCGTGGAAGGCTGATCCCCAGGTGATCTGCCAGGGGGCGATGTAAGTCAACACAAAGCGGAGTTTGTACAGCAGGTCCCACATCTGAGAGTCCCATGAATAAATATAAATAAGTCAAGTCAGAAACGCACACGTCAGCAGCTTTTCTTTCACAGTCGACGCAGACATTAGAAACTGCTTTAACACTAGAAGTAAAACAACTGTTGGTCAGATTCACAGCTCGCTGACCTTGTTGAAGAGAATGGACATGAAGTAGTAGTCGATGAGGAAGGTCTCTGAGAAGTGCGGGTAGTCGAAGTGGAAGAAGAGCGTGGTGAAGCACAGCGTGACGTACTGCTGTGAAGGTGCACAGAAGGAGGAACGCAGCAGCTTCATGCCCGCCACGGAGATGAAGAGCGCTCGGCTGCTGGGTACGGGAAGAGAAAAAAAAAAAAATAAACACGGGGGAGGTTGGAGGAGGAGAAGGAGCAGAGACAGGATACAAATCTTGTTGTCAAAATACAGTTAATGGTGCGGGAAGATAAAAAACAAAACAATACTGCATTTAGCAGAGGAACTGTAATTGATCTGCTGCAAACGGGGGAGTTGTTGACAACAATGTTGACAACAATGTTGTCGTTCTGATTGACAGCTGGTTCAAAGAACAACAAGGGTTTTTTTTCTTTCATTTTCCTAAAGCTGCACATTATTACTGATCAGCACGAAGGACAACAATGGTGAGCAGATTATATGGAGAAATATATTCACAGCTACGTGAAACGCTGCACAGAAACCCTGAACAAACAGAAGGAGAAAATCCACTGACAACAGATATTTCCACCGTCGCCTGCCGCTGTGCACACCCCTGCAGAGAGTCATACACCTGGGGTTGTTTCAGCATGTCTATTAATTTTATGTTCTGCTGTTCCAACCCACAAAGCTAACAGTACACCCCCCCCCCCGGGGAGGCGAGCGGAGACGGAGAACAGAGTAAAATATGGTTTGTAGGGGAGTCGGAGACAGAATGAGGGAGAGGCCTTACTAGATGTCCAGCTCCTTGTGGTTCTGGCCGATGGTCCGAGCCTCTGTTGTCAGGGAGTTCAGCACCACCGCCGGGTAAATGAAATATTTCTCCACACACTGGAGCCACGCGTACAGCTTCTCAAACCACATCAACTGAGCAGCATCTGGAAAAAAAAAGAAAAAAAAGAAAAAAGAAAACATTACAAATGGAAAAAATGACACATTTTCTCAGCCGTGAAATTAATTAAGAAGAAAATAATAAAAACCAAAAAAAGAAATATATAAAAATTGAAATAATGGCCATGTCTTTTTGACGTCGTTCCACTAAAACCTAAAAGTGTGTTTTAATGGAGTTATTAAAGTGAAATACGTTCATTTATCGACTGCGATGCTGTGAATATTAAAAAAGTGAATTCATTCTCCTGGACTCCGTACAGCTCCCCTGGAGATGATTGGGGTTTGGTTGGTTTTCCTGTGATAAGCAGTTTAATTAGAGATCTTACTGTTTTCCATTTAATCCACGCAGAGAGTCTCCAGCAGAGGTTTTCACTCTCTACATGTTCCCGTTCATGTAATAGTCCCTCTCCCTCTGATGTGCGTGTTAGCGTGAAGATGACGGACGATAAAAGAGACTCACCTCGGACCTCAAACTGACTGTACTCCTTAGAGCGGAGCACGGGGTGAGCCAGGCAAAACCACGGGAGCTGTTTGCGGAGCTGCGGCAGAAGATAGTGCGTAATGAAGCCAATAACTCCAGCCAGGATGTACAAGACGAAGCTGAGGGCAGGCTGGGGATGAAAAAAAAGAAAAAAAAAAGTTGTTATTCAGGTTAACTAATCAGTACCTGCAGGACTACAGTTTACTCCAACTCACCTGCAGAGCGATGAACACTGTGCTGGCACTGATGGCAAAGGTGATGACAGCCATTAGGGGGCACATGACCAGGTCTGAATGAAGAATCTCTTTCTGTAAAGACAAAGAGTCGACACCATTGTTTCGTAGCTGCAGAAGTTCTGTTTTGTTCAGTAAATGTTCCATACATGAGGACGTCTACATTTTTACAACTGTTGAATTTGCGGTTGATTTTGAGGAAACTCATTTAATAAACAGTAGTGATGAAAAATATCACACATATATCAATGATAATGATGTCACATTGTGCATCTTTTATGCAACATACATCAATATATCTATATTGTCTAAATGTTCTTATTTACTGGTGTTAATAAATAAACTGTCGTGTCTGCCGGGACATCACCGGTCAAACAGGCTCGTCCATGTGGTGAGATGTGATACTGACCACAGAGTTGTGCAGCTTCTCAGGCAGAGGATCCTTGATCTCCACAGGGGGTTCTTCTGGTGTGCGGTTCTCCAGCTCGGGGAATAATTTAGATCGGACCAGTGACCTGACGCAAGACATTAAAGAAAAATAACATCAAAGTCGTTGGCGTTTGGCGGCGCCGTCCAAGTCTCATGTCTGTAGTAACATGTCTGGGTGTGAAGACGGATCAAACCCCAGAACCCCAGATGTACTGACCACAGGATGGTGGGATCACTGCTTTGGCGGCTGAGGTGGTAGGATAAGGCCAGGAGGAGGCCGCAGAACACCGAGAACAGGACTGGCACATGAGCTTCCCCCCAGGGTGCCTAAATCAAAGAAGAAAAAAAAGAAAACAAAAGTCACATTGTTGTCAACAGCGTCAAACAGTTCACAGTCAGAAGCTTCAGGAGCAGAGGAACGTCCATGTCCTTACGTTGATAGCACCAAGACAAAATCCGTAGAGGAGAGCAGCCACCAGGACGCTGCGGATGAGGCTGAAGAGTGAAGAGAGGGGGCTGGTGGTGGCTGAGGACGAGGACGAGGACGAGGACAAGAACACATCCACCGTGAGCAGTTACATCACATCAGGGTGTTCAGCTTCAGCAGACACACTTTGAAGACTGCTTTTAATATTTTTTTAAATGATTGTATCATCATGGAGCTCACCGGTTCCACCAAAAACATGCATGTCGATCTGCTCCAGCAGACACATCACAAAAGTATTGACCTGAGGTAGCAGCCCGAAAAGGAAGATGACGGGGAAACACAGGGCGAGGACTGTGGGAGAGAAAGAAAAAAAACAGGAAGTGTTGAGTGAGCACAAAAAGTGTGAGAAAACAGTCGAAATACAGACAAACTCAGTTTCAACATCCTTATTGGCTAACACATTCCAGTGTCATGTGACCAACCGCACTCACCGATGAGCATGTCTCTGACGCAGAGCAGGAAGTGTGCAGAGAAGAAGGTGACTCCGTAGAGGGAGAAAGGCTGCAGACTTCCAGAGCGACCGGAGAGGTCGAAGATCCAGATCATCACACAGCACAGGCAGAAGTAGACGGGTCGACTGTACACGATGATCCAGTTATGGCCCTTTGACGAGGAGAAGACGACGAATAATCAGACGTTTGTGTAAAGTCAAATGTTTTTGAAGATAGATTTAGAAGAGAAAATTAAATTTGAGATCATTATTATTATTATTATATTGTAGTATTATTAAACTACACTGATGGTAGAAGACAACTCACATGCATAGGAGAAGCTGCATCTGGCTGGACACTCTGGGGAAAAAAAGAAAGCAATGATTTAATGTTATTTCAACATAAAACAAAAAAAGACAAGGAGGAGTGGCTGAAGATAAATAACAGCAAAAAACACTGAACTGAAGGGTGATTTCTTTTTTATTTCCACCAGACTGTTGAGATTTGATGTCCTCGAGGAAACTTGAAAAACATGTATTCAAATGATAAAATTTCTTACCTCAATAATTAAGATGAAAATATGAGTAAACATGTCACAAATGAAAACCCTGAACTTCAGATCTCAACAGAAATGGAACTCTGTTTTGTTCTGTTTTTTTTTTTTTTAATCCACCGCATTAAAAACCAGAATCTTTTCACGATAAGAAAAGAAAGGAGGAAAGTTTAAAACCACTGCTTTCCAAATTCAGCCCTGACCGTCAGAGCGATGACACGGCGTACCTTCAGTAAAGAGTACTGGCAGCTGGCGATGACCAGGCAGAACAGGAACACCCAGATGTCCCTGAAGAAGCCCTGGAGCAGGAGAAGGAACCCCAGGAAGGCCACCAGACTGGCCAGCACCACGGCAAACACGTTCTCACCTGCACGACGGTTCCTGGACACAGAGAGGAGAAGGGAATACTTCAAATACTGTTCACGCTGATACACGAGTATTATGTGTGTGTAACAGTACGGATCATTTAACGGTAAAACTGTGACGACACCACGAACGCTGCACATGACGTGAGGTGTCAATCAGGACAAATAAATGACACAAAGACATCAATAATCATCTGAGTATTGAAGTGATGCTGGTGCTGGAGGTCTCCTTCAGGTCACGTACCTGTCCAACAAGGCCAGCAGAGCCAGTCGATCGTATCGAACCCTCAGCCACTTCCCAGGGAGCACCCAGAAGCGATAGTACTGTTTGGGTTTGCTTTTCTCTTCGATCATCAGAGTGTTTTCCTGCGACTCTTGTAGAGACTCGTGATCCAGATCAAACTACAAACGAGTTAAAAAAAAAGGTAAGAAAACAAAAAGGACACTTGTCTGAGAGTCAGATAATCCTGTCGTTTTTTTTTTGTTTTTTTTTTAACAACCAACACTGCTAACCTCCGGCATTTCCAAAGGCACCCTGCGCACCTGCATGCCCTGCAGGACCACCGGTCTGGGTTGGAGCATGGACAGCACCGGAGCCCCTTCCTGGACCTCAGTGGAGGT